TTCTGGATTGGACATTTTGGAATGACCTCCCATTGTGGTTAGGAGTCTCCTTCCAGTCTTCTGCCCCATCATGCCGGGCCTGTGGACACACACACTTAAAAGTTATTTCCCACAGGATGGACTCATCACTCGGCGATGAGTGTGCCAGATGATGTCTTTCCCACGTGCCCGAGGTCTGTCTGTGCAGCCTGGCACCTCCCTTTGCCCCAGTCTTGAAAAGACAAAGGAGAATTGTCTTGGAATGCTCAGCAGTTTCCTCCGTGCCCTCTCCACTTAGCCAGTCTGATGTCTCCATCTTTTAGGTGCGAGTTCACATTTATTTCAAAGATGTTTCTAGCTCCCCGAGGCAGTCAGTGTCTGTGCTGCTTTGTGTATGTGGCCCCTGCTTTTCTGTTTTGCTTTAGGGTTTGTGCCTCCCACTACGGGGTCAAGAGCACACACCTGTTCAATTTGGTCTTCCGAGGAGAGTCTGAACTTGGCCCGGTGAGTGGAGTTGGTAATCCACGTACCTCAGTTGCTTTCCCCCTTCTGTGGAGAGAAACATGCTTGCCTCCAGAACTTTCAGTGCACAGCTGGGTTGTGATGCCGGAGAGCCCCCTGAATTGGTGTGAGGATTTTGTGTATACAATTTTCTGGGTCCCGGCCAGTGTGGCTCAGTGGTTGAGCGTCACCCTATGAATCTGTAGATTACAGTTTGATTCCCAGTCAGGGCACATGCCCGAGTTGTGGGCTCGATCCCAAGTGGGGGGCGGGTGGGCAGGAGGCAGGAGGCAGCTGATCAATGATTCTCATCATTGATGTTTCTATTTCTCCCTCCCCCTTTCAATAACAATATATTTAAAAAATAAATGTTCTGGGGACATGTTCCCCCATTTTCTGACCCATTATTTGCAGTTCCCTCTCAGATCAGCTCCCCAGATGAGCACCTGAGGTAGCTCACTGCTGTCTCCAGGCTTGTGTTTGAGCCTCGCCTCACCAGTCCCGAGGACACGCAGCTATGTCTGTCAGTGTGCGTTGGGTACCTAGGAAATCACATCTGCTGCCCGCCACTGCACTGCCGGCTCACTGAGCTTTCCGGGCCTTCTGGGAGCGCAGCACTGCTTCGAATCTGGCAGTTTCCCATGGAAACCAAATTTCTAACCACCAGCTTTTGGAATGTGGCTAGTTGAGTGTGTGAATTGGTTGTGGTGGTGATTTTGCCTCCCAAGGAGCAGAGAAGGCTGTAACCGGGGCAGCAGATGAATAATGCATTTGCTGGTCTCTGAACGGGTGCATGCAGATAACTTGGCTTGAGCTTTATGCGTGACCCATGACTCAGTCTGTGTGAGTGGTTTGTGGAACTTCTAGCTTTGGTTGAATAGCTAGTAATAATAGCACTTCAGTTCTTCCCCTCTCTTTCCTGAAAGGAGAGCACCTGCTGACCCAACCTATGTTGTGTACTGTGTGTGTGCGCGCGCACCTGTGTGTCTGTACAATTACCGTGCCCTTTTGGCTTGCAATGTGTGCATGACTCTGACAGTAACCACTGTGCTGTCTGCTGGAGTTGCCCCTGCATAGTGGCCCATCTCCATGGAGCCTGATGTAATCTGTGTTTCCTAGTGAGGTTTTCCCATTTTCAGTTTTACAATCAGGGATACCATAGACCTCTTTCAGAAACAATAGGAACTCTTAAGGTAGTTTATAAGATAGTTTTTTGAAAATTATACATTCAGACTGGCTGCTCCGAAAAGCCATCTTTGCATTGTTCCTGTGGCTTCCTCTCCGCTCGCTGCATCCACCTCCGCCGCGCGCCTCCTCCACCGCCGCGGACTCCGGCAGCTTCTTCGCCAGAGTCCTCCAACTCTCCCGTTTTTTTAAAAAAAATCCTCTGCACAGGATCACCGGCGTGCCCCACCATGTCAGACACGGCCGTGGACACCAGCTCCGAGATCACCACCAAGGACTTAAAAGAGAAGAAGGAAGTTGTGGAGGAGGCAGAGAACGGAAGAGATGCACCTGCGAATGGAAATGCTAATGAGGAAAATGGGGAGCAGGAGGCTGACAATGAGGTAGATGAAGAAGAGGAAGAAGGAGGGGAGGAGGAGGAAGAGGAAGAGGAAGGTGATGGTGAGGAAGAGGATGGAGATGAAGATGAGGAGGCTGAGGCAGCTACAGGCAAACGGGCAGCTGAAGATGATGAGGATGACGACGTCGACACCAAGAAGCAGAAGACTGATGAGGATGACTAGACAGCAAAAAAAGGAAAAGTTAAGGCCTCCGTGACCTATTCACCCTCCACTTCCCGTCTCAGAATCTAAACGTGGTCACCTTCGAGTAGAGACTCCGCCCGCCTGCCTGCCCCCACCCCCGCGGGCAGCGCCACCTGCAGATGACACGCACTCTTCACCGCCCCACCAAAACCACAACGTGAATTTGCAACAGGGGAGAAAAAAAGAACCAAAACTTCCAAGGCCCTGCTTTTTTTCTTAAAAGTACTTTAAAAAGGAAAATTTGTTTGTATTTTTTATTTACATTTTATATTTTTGTACATATTGTTAGGGGTCAGCCATTTTTAATGATCTTGGGATGACCAAACCAGCCTTTGGAGCATTCTCTGTCCTACTTCTGACTTTACTTGTGGTGTGACCATGTTCATTATAATCTCAAAGGAGAAAAAAAACCTTGTAAAAAAAGCAAAAACAACAAAAAAAAATCTTATTCCGAGCATTCCAGTAACTTTGTGTATGTACTTAGCTGTACTATAAGTAGTTGGTTTGTATGAGATGGTTAAAAAGGCCAAAGATAAAAGTTTCTTTTTTCCCTTTTTTTGTCTATGAAATTGCTGTTTATTTTTTTTGGCCTGTTTGATGTATGTGTGAAACAATGTTGTCCACAATAAACGGGAATTTTATTTTGCTGAGTTGTTCTAACAAAAAAAAAAAAAAAAAATTATACATTCATAACACTGGGAGTTTAATAATAATTCAGATAACCACTCTGCTTTGTTATTCTTTTCTGACTTTTGTATAATTCATATAATATATTCTTGAATTTTTCTATTATACATTACCTTTATTTTTAATACTTAATATTTTAATAAGAATGTCATTAGTTTTTCTATTTTTGTGTTTAAAGTTGCATCTGTGTTTTTTAGTATTGTAAATTAAACTAAATATATTTATGCATATCGTATTTTACCTATTGAATTGCTCAATTTCTTTGAAATGTATATCTAGATGTGGATTACTTTTATATATTTTTTAAAATATGTTTTTATTGATTTCAGAGAGGGAGAGGAGAGAAAGAAACACCAATGATGAGAGAGAATCATTGATTGGCTGCCTCCTGCATGCCTCACACTGGGGATTGAGCCTGCACCTGGGCATATGCCCTTGACTGGAATCGAACCCGGGACCGTTCAGTTCTCAGGCCTGTGCTCTATCCAAACCAGCTAGGACTAGAAGTGGATTACTTTTCAAAAAATTAGTTTTCATTGACAGTATTACAACTGTCCCCCATTTTTCCATCCTTTGCCCCACTTCTACCCAGCAGAAGTAGATTACTTTTGAGGAGGGACTTTTTTGTTGTTCTTCTGGGATAATTAAAAAAAAATAATCTTTGTTGTTGAAAGTATTACTTATGTTCCCTTTATTCCCCCATTGATCCCCTCATGCCCCATGCCCTCTCCGCCCCATTGTCTGTGTCCGTGGGTTATGTTATATGCAACAGGTCCTTGGTTGATAACCTCCCACCCGCCCTCCCCCACCTTCAAAGAGGGATATTTTTTCATTTCTTAAAATACATTAGTATAGTAAGAAATAGCAGGCCCTGAACAGGTAGTTCAGTTGGTTAAAGCTTTGTCCTAATACACCAAGGTTGCAGGTTCGATCCCACTCAGGGCACAATCAGAGAATGCACAAATAAGTGGGACAACTAATCAGTGTTTCTCTTTCCCTTCCTCCCTCCTCCTCTCTCTCCTTCCTCTCTGACTCTCTCTCAAATCAATAAAGGAAAAATAATATAACAAAACCCCAGTTACATTGCTATCAGTGTTATAAGAAAGCAAAAATATGGCACCTTCATCTGCATTTCTTTAGTGACGCTGAACCTTTGTTTTCCTAATCCCATTTCTGTGCACAAGATTCCTGCCCAAGTCTAGTAGATGAGACGCTGTACGCCTGGTTCTGAGTGTACAAGACCACGTTCACTTTGCTATGTGGTCTTGCTTTTTGCTAGTAACCTTGTTTATGTGCAAAAGCAAAAACTCATGCATTAGGTTTTTAAAGAGCTGTTTCTATTAACATTAAGAGTCATTTTTCTGTGCAATAAGGATCTGAATCTTGGTGTTTTCCCCTATAGATTAAAAAAATAACTTTGGCAACCAAAACCGGTTTGGCTCAGTGGATAGAGCGTCAGCCTGCAGACTGAAAGGTCACAGGTTCAATTCCGGTCAAGGGCATGTACCTTGGTTGCGGGCACATCCCCAGTAGGGGATGTGCAGGAAGTAACTGATTGATGTTTCTAACTCTGTCTCTCTCTCTTCCTCTCTATAAAAAATCAATAAAAAACAAAACAAAAAAAACACCCCAACAACTTTGGCTAATTTTCATTCTACAGAAGTTAAAAATTTTATGTTTAAATATCAGTCTCTTGTGATTTTTTTCATTGCAGCGTGACATGTTATTTAAGGTTATAAAGACTAAAAGGTCTGGTACCCCCTAGTGTGGCTTAAAAATAATTTGAGAGGAAAAAAGTGAGCCAGATATATTAGTCCTTCCAGCCTGCGGCTTACATGACAGCGCAGCTCCTTGTCTGGTGTGGTGCCTCTGGTTGGCATTCCTGTAGCTGGGCGAGGGCCACGCTGGTGTCGTGCTAAATGCCAGGACTAGCTCACCCTTACCCTGGGTAAGCAAGTGCGGTGTCTGTGTGGGCAATGAGCCACCTCCTTACCATGGTTTTCCTTTATTTTAATTTATTTACTTATTATTTATTTATTTTTTTTTTTACCATTTTCCCTTCAGCTGCAGCCAGCCCTGTCCTGGGCCTGAGAGAATGCACCAGAGGCTCAGCAGTGTGGTGTCAGAACATCAAGACGGCGGCCGACTGCGGGGCGGTGAAGCACTGCCTGCAGACCGTCTGGAGCAAGCCCACCGTGGTGAGCGCCCTAACCGTGTGCTCCCTCCCCATGTGGCGCCTGTGACACTGCCCTTGGCACAGCACTTTCTCGCCTCATTCTGTTTGCTCCTCACGGTGACCCTGTGAGGGAGGCAGGACTGTAGGGGGTGAGCCATTCTCACTGAGGGAATGGAGGCTGGAGAGGTTCCATTCCCCCAAGGTCACCCCGTCTCTTGGTGACAGATTGGACGAGGTCCTCCCATGTCCACGCTCTATGCTCCCTGCTGCCCTCCAGGCCTCTGTGCAGGCCTGGAGGGCAGCAGGGATCAGCTGCCCTCACCACCCAGCAAGGGATCAGCAGGTTTCCAGCCCCGTCCCCAGAACTGGCACATGAGGATGGCTTTCATCCTGGCCACTCACTCAAAATCTAGATGCTAATAAGCTTTTCAGGCCTTTTTTATGTTTTCTTTCTCCGTCTCTCTCAGCTGCCTGTTTGGGTCACTGATTCAGACCCTAGAACTTTAGTAGATATTTAAGATTTTATTTCCAGCTATAATCTAATTGCCTTTTTTTCATCCAAACAATGTTCAGGTTGGGAACCAGGATGTGCCTGTGTGTCAGATGGCCATGGCCACGTCCCTGGGTTTTCACCTGTGTGTGGTGCGAGTTATGTCCTACAAATACAGATCTCTCCCTCATGCTCTCTTCTCTTAGAAATCCCTTCCCTGCGACGTGTGCAAAGATGTCATCACTGCAGCTGACAACATGTTGAAAGAAAATGCCACTGAGGTAAGCGCCACAGTGTGTGTGACTGAGTGGTGGCCTGGTGGCCACACGATCGGTCACTTAGAAGCTGTGACTTGGGAGGGGAGGGGGGGTCTACCATGGAATGGTCTAGGTCCAGGTAGGACCTAATTAAGTCCCGTGGGCCACATACTGCTTCTGGCATAGTTCTTCCGCTCGCCCCCCAACCTTTGAAAAATGTAAAAGGCCGTACAAGCCCAGGCCGTGGGCCCTAGCTTGCTCCCCTACCCCCAAGCGTTCAGTGCCCAACTCCATTGGGATTTTGTGTCGCATGCTGTTAACCTTTGGGTCCGTCTGGCTGTCTGCTCTCTGTGCCTGTGAGGCTGCAGCCTGAGGATCTGCTTCTTGCCCCATTGACGTGATGAGCCATGGCTCCCACCCCCCGGCTCCCAGGTTCCCTTCCCTGAGGGTTGCTGCTTCCAGCTGTCACTCTTCCGGGAGCTGTCGAGGGCCTCTTGCTCTCAGCCCGTGTGTAGAAAAGTGCACGCTGACCTGCCCTTGCCTGTGTCTCCAGCAAGAGATCCTCGTGTACCTGGAGAAGACCTGTGACTGGCTTCCTAAGCCGGACCTGTCGGCCTCATGCAAGGAGATGGTGGACACCTACCTCCCAGTCATCCTGGACATGATTAAAGGGCAGATGGTACGTGCTGGAGAACAGGTCTTCCTCAGGCAGTGCTGGGGTCCAGGGAAGCACCAGACCAGGAGAGAGGGATTACAATGGCAAGTCCATTCGTACCCCGTGGGCTTTCTCAGTTTCTTGACTACAGTTCTGACATCCAGAATGGCCCTGGCACGGCGGAACACTCGGCCTGTAGCTTCCAGGGGCGGGAGGGGTACAGGAAGTGGGGCTTACAGAGCTACTGAAGGGGTGTGAACTGGCATACACCGCTCCGTGCTGATTTGATAACTCCTATGGGATCTTAGGAGCAAGCAATTTCATTTCTGTCATTTGTATCCTAAGGAGTAAGTCAGGGAATTCACTTGTAGGTTCAGCTACAAGGAAGCTCAATGTTCATTTGATAAGTATCTCTGTGTGTGAACCATGTGCCAGAGGTTGGGTTTTCAGCAGTGAGCAAGGAATTTGGAAAGACCCCAGCAAAGAGGAGGGGCTTAAAAAACAGAGGACCATTGTCCCAAGGTGGGACCACGCGCAGCAGGAAGTCCCTGGGTCACAGGAGGGGGTGCCATGATGATAGGGACCTTTTTGAGAGGGTTTGGTTAGATCTCCCGCCATTGGAGCTGACAGAGGGGAAGCTGGCGGAACAGTCAGGCATCAGATGTGCTGGGGGCAGTGGAGATGGACAGATGCATAGCTTTTAGAGGATGAATGGACTAGACTTATTGATGGAGGGAGGGGATGTCTTCAGGTTTCTGGCTTGAACTGCAGGGAGAATGGTGCTTAAGCCATGGCTGAACTAGAGATGGGTGGGGAGTGGGTTGGCGGTTGAGTGTGAGGTGCCTGTGAACTGTGTGTGCGTGCATGGGGCCCACTAAGAGAGGAGGAAGGGGACTCATTGAAAGGCACCAAGTGGGAGAGTGTTTCCAGCTGGACTTCCTTCCCTACCAGAGCCAACCCGAGGAGGTGTGCTCCGCGCTCAGTCTCTGTGAGTCTCTTCAGAAGCACCTGGCAGAGCTCAATCACCAGAAGCAGCTCGAGTCCAATAAGATCCCAGAGCTGGACATGACTGAGATGGTGGCGCCCTTCATGGCCAACATCCCCCTCCTCCTCTACCCTCAGGGCGGCCCCCACCACGAGTCCCGGCCGAAGGTAAGGCAGGCTCGCCTCGGGCTCCATCCGGATTGGATTAAAGTGTGTGTCCTTCTGAACTGGGGGCTTGGGCAGCAGCGGGCCTGGGAATGGTTGTGCCATGCAGATGCTGAAGAACCTGGATATTTACAATAAGCTAAATAAAAAAAACGGGGTTTTTAAAATATGCAACCATTTCCCCCCTCCCTATTAAGTTTTACTAAATCAGTGCCCAGCTGATTTTTAAACTGTCGACAGTTTTAGAGCCTGTGAAAACACACTGTTCACTGCTCAGAGTCCCATCTGGTGCTGATGTGTGAGCACGGGAGGCCTTTTCCTAGGAATTAGAATCCTCTTAGTGACTACAGGAGTGCTCGGCTGACAGCCTCCCCTCCCCGTCTCTGTAGGCTGGCGGGGATGTTTGCCAGGACTGCGTCCAGATGGTGACCGACATCCAGAATTCTGTGAGGACCAACTCCACCTTTGTGCAGGCCTTGGTGGAACACACCCGGGAGAAGTGTGACCTCTTGGGGCCTGGCATGGCCGACATGGTGAGCCTGGTCTCTCTGTGGGCTCTGGAGACGGGAGTGGGGGACCCTGGAAACTTCACTTCCTGGGGTGCCATTTAGAGTTCATCTTAGGAGATCTGAGGACAAGATTGTTCAGACAAGTTCCATTCCTTCCAACTAGAAGGCACTGGAACAGGTGGTGGGCACTTACACACGGTGTTGGTAATTGCCTTTGTATATGTAATAGAACTCGTGGACGGAGAGACTTTGGTGAAGATTTCTTTTTCTCCCAGTAATCATATATGTAAGAACACACTGGAACCACTTCCAGCCCTGTTTCTAAAAGCCTGGCTGTAGCATGTTAATACTCCTAAGTGTGCTCTCCCACAGCCAGCAGGGTTGGTATCTGTGGGAAGCCCCGCGGGTGGCTTGCAGGAAGTTCAGCCGGATGCCTTCCTTACCCTGAGAATGTCAGTCCTGTGGGCTCAGAAACTCATTTTGTTAGCCCCTCAGGGGGCCTTATTTCTTGGGCCCTGTTCACATTAACCACACTCAAGAGATTGGTGAGCAAAACCAAAGTGCTCGGTTAATACCTGACAAGCAAAACGCCTCTGCTGAGCAGGAGCAGGGAGCTGTTGTAATGACGACGTGGGTCCAGGGTCCAGGGCAGCCTTCTGGAGGCGAGGCTCCCTCCGATGGCTTGCTGTCTTGTAAGCCTGGAACCTTAGCCCCATTGCAGGATCTGTGCACATGGGCTTCTCCAATATGGAGGTCTGTCCTCCTGCTTTTCTCCCTGCAGAGGCTCTCCAGTTAGGACCTATTCTCTCAGGGTCTGCAGGAAATGCCTACATGTGTGTAAAGTGGCAAGTTGAAAATCATCATAACTTGATTCTGCTGGGTTTCAGCTTTTAATTCTGTCCAAGAATGTGTGGAAGGATTTGAAAAGTAATCTCTGATTCCAAACACTCATAAGTTGCTACTCTGTGATTTTGGGGCAAGTTTGGGGCAGAAAGGAGACTGGGAGGCCTCATCTCCAGGGGCCTTTGGCAAACCTTTCCAAAGCACCGTTTGCACAAGTCCTGTAAGGTAGAGATTAACCACATAGCCACTTTCATCTTAATAAAGCTTTCCCAGAGCAGACATGTACAAGTCTCGACTTTGGGTTGGAAATGCTGATTGGTGGTGTGTTGTAGTGGTTTCACTAACAGTGTGTTTCTCTGTCCCCAGTGCAAGAACTATGTGGACCAGTACTCCGACATTGTTATCCAGATGATGATGCACATGGTAGGTGGCAGTCCCGTTCCTCCTTAGCATTTTTCTTTATCTCGAACTTTGTGATTTCCAGGAATTTTGAAAAGTATATAGTTTAGTTTCCTTTGTTTACCTTTGAGACCTAACCTGGGCTAAAATGAGCCCTTTGTGACCAGCTGACTCTCCACCTGCAGCTCACTATCTCCTTCCCCTTTCCTAGCTTGCCCATCCTCACCTCTGCCCTGGCCTACTCACCTTGTGAATGTTCATGTGCTGTGCCCATGTGAGCTGCCCATCAGATTTCCAGCATTTGGCTTTCACCCTTGGCCTCATGGGCATGGTCTGCTCTGTAGCTAGGCCAGGCCTGAGAACCGCTGTGCTGCAGCCTCTTAGAGCTGGTCCTGCACTCTGCAGCAGCCTTAGCGCTCACACTTGCCTCTGATGTATCCAGGTGGTAGTGGCATCCCTTCATGATCAGAGCTAGGAGGTATCATCAGCTACCAGCTTCATGCAGAAAACTGGCAGGAGCAGTATGGCCTGAGCATCATTCCTTTGGCAACATGCTCTGGCCTCCTGAGGCCTAGCCTGGAGGGATGGAGGGGTGGGTTGCACTTTTTCCTTCTGTCATGCTTGCTTCTGATGAGTTGAGATTGGCCGATAGTCCTTGAGTTTATTCTCTAACCAGGGACTGTTTGGTAGTTTAATTGGCACATAGCAATGCCTATTTTGCGCTACAGCAGCAAAGTTGAGTAGTTGAGACCTTAATGCTCGCAAAACCTAAAAGATGTACTCTGGTGCTGCTCTAACCACGCAGACTCCATCCAGTCACAGTAGAGGTTATTTGGGGTCATTACTCACACTGCACCTTGTTCTACGGCAGCTTACAAAGGCAGCAGCGAGAGTGGGAAAAAGTAAGCCCTTGGTGTGACTTGATCTGATTAGTGCTTCCTCATAGCTAACTAAAAAATGTTTCTCATTGTAAAAATTATGCTGCATATACATTCTTTGAAAATAGGATAATACTTCCCACATTGAAAATCATTTGAGGTTTAAGAAAACATCAGTGGGGTCATACTTTATATTCTACAAATTTTGTAGTTTGGATTTTTAAAAAAATATATGTTACTGATTTTTTTACAGAGGAAGGGAGAGGGCTAGAGTTAGAAACATCGATCAGTTGGCCTCCTGCACATTCCCCTACTGGGGATGTGCCCACAACCAAGGTACATGCCCTTGACCGGAATCGAACCCGGGACCTTTCAGTCCACAGGCCGACGCTCTATCCACTGAGCCAGACCGGTTTTGGCAGTTTGCATTTTTAATCTAAAATTATATTGGTCATTAAATATTTTGTACAAATGTTTTTTAAGTGGTTGCATAATATTTCACTGTGCGACTAAAGGTCATTTATATACACAGGCATCTGTGGCTGGGTGTTTGGGTTGTTTGCAGGTTTGCCCTTGGGATAAAAGGCTTGATGAGCAGCCAAATCTCTGTTTTTCCTAGAATAGGTCATTAAAACTGAAATGTGAAGCAAAGTGCCAGGCTTTTGATAGTGTCAAACCAGCCCTCCAGTCTGGCCTGTGGCCTCTGCGGGTAGATCGTTGGGAGACCTGGGCAGTGGAGCGTGGCTCAGTCCCTCACGCCTCCAGATGTATGTATAACACACTGCCCTAAGTTGAGCGGCCCTGTGTCTTGTTCCATTTTGCTGCTTATCACCAACCTGAGGGGAGGGCCCTGCAGGTGTGGGGTTAGGCTTCTATCCCCACATGAGTGCGCTTCATAACGTGGCATTTTCTGGGGACTTGCTGCCCGGTGAACATGATTTGTTGTGTTAGGGACATGGAACGGTGCACACACAAGCTGGGGGAGTGATCTGTCCAGTAAGGAGGGCTAGAGGTTAGGGACATGGAACGGTGCACACACAAGCTGGGGGAGTGACCTGTTCAGTAAGGAGGGCTAGAGGTTAGGGACATGGAACGGTGCACACACAAGCTGGGGGAGTGACCTGTTCAGTAAGGAGGGCTAGAGGTTAGGGACATGGGACGTGCACACACAAGCTGGGGGAGTGACCTGTTCAGTAAGGAGGGCTAGAGGTTAGGGACATGGGACGTGCACACACAAGCTGGGGGAGTGACCTGTTCAGTAAGGAGGGCTAGAGGTTAGGGACATGGGACGTGCACACACAAGCTGGGGGAGTGACCTGTTCAGTAAGGAGGGCTAGAGGTTAGGGACATGGGACGTGCACACACAAGCTGGAGGAGTGACCTGTCCAGTAAGGAGGCCCAGAGGTTAGGGACATGGGACGTGCACACACAAGCTGGAGGAGTGATCTGTCCAGTAAGGAGGGCCAGAGGTTAGGGACATGGGACGTGCACACACAAGCTGGAGGAGTGATCTGTCTAGTAAGGAGGGTCAGAGGTTAGGGACAAGGGACGTGCACACACAAGCTGGGGGAGTGACCTGTCCAGTAAGGAGGGCCGGAGGAGTTGGTAGGGCCCACTGTGCACTCAGTAGTAGGAACAAGGTGGGGGCTGATGTGACTGAAGGATGGTTCCCCTAAACTTCTGGTGATATCCTAAACCTCATTAACTGCTTGATCATTGTTTAAATTTTTTCTTAACTGTTGTGTCCTTTCCTTTCTCGTATTTTATCTCCGATTTCCTGTTTTTTTATTCAACAGCAGGATCAGGTATGTGATGGGGATTTGCTTGGAGTAGTGGTTGGCTGCTGCTTGTAGCTCTCTCGCTCATCCCTTTTGTATGCATGATCCCCTGTGGCAGATCCAGGGAGAGACTGGAAGGCAGGGTCCCTCTCGGGATGGACAGGCTGGCAGGGAGCTTCTGCATCTCTTCCCTGTAACTCGGCACTTGAGGTGGCGGGGGTTCCATCTCCCCTTCAGGAGCCACGCACCCTGAGCCAAATCAGTGCCCAATGGCCAAATGCCAGGCCACCAGTAATGATGGGGACCCAGGGGTGGTTCCCAAGATGCCGCAGCTTCCTGCACCGTAGGCCTTGTTTCTGTCATGGCTGGAGCACAGCATGTCCTCCCCCCGTTTTCCATGCCCAGAAGTGCTGCTCCCGCGTGAACACATCCATTGCAAATAGTGAGCAGACTGTCCGGCTGCTGGATCAGAGCGCGGAGACAGTCTCTTGGTTGCGGCTTCTGTCTGTCTGGGGATGAGGTCCTGCAGGCTCAGGAGCCACAGCAGACGGCCTGTGAGCTAGGCTGCGTGGCATAAAGTGGGGGACACTGAGTCATCAGACCATGGAGCCAGGTGCCCTTTTGGGGCTGTACTGAGCATTGCCTCCTTTTGAGCACTGGAACTGAAGATTTTCCAGAGGTTTTTTAAAGTCTGGTGGGAAATGTGGCTGAAATATCTGAATTTTCACATAGGCCTCATGGAACAAAGCTGATCTGAGACAAAGCAGCCCACCTGAATCTTTTTTTAAATTTTATTTATTTATATATTTTTAAATTGATTTCAGAGAAGAGAGAGGGAGAGAGAGACAGTTGCCTCCTGCACACCCCACACTGAGGAGTGAGCCTGCAGTCCAGGCATGTGCCGTGCCCTCCTGGTTTGTAGGTCGACGCTCAACCACTGAGCAACACCAACTGGGCTTTTTGTCTGTTTTCTAAAAAGTTTGTTCTACCTTTGGCCACATTGTCCCCCCCTCCCCCCCATTCTTTTATTTATTTACTTATTTGTTATTTAAAATACATTTTTATTGGTTTTAGAGAGGAAGGGAGAGGGAGAGAGAGACATACCAATGAAGTGAATCACTGATTGGCTGCCTCCTGCAGGCCCCACATTGGGGATGGAGCCTGCAACCCAGGCCTGTGACCTCCTGGTTCATAGGTCAGTGCTCAGGCACTGAGCCACGCTGGCCGGACTTTTCTCCCCATTCTTAAAGTGTGCCGCAGACAGGATACTTCAGATACACTTTCAAATGCCTCCCCCTTAATTTATTCTGGAGCCTTCTTGGTATTTACACAGGTGAACCATAACCACGATCCAGCTCTCTTCCCTTCCCGGGCCTCACTGTTAGCAGTCCTGCTCCCTCTGGTTTGGTGGAGGGAGGCAAATGCCACCAGGCCCAGAGTAGTAACTGGTGGCATTTGGTTTACAAAGTATACACACTATGTATACTTTCCTTGCTCTTGGCCATCGTACAGTGAAGTGGTCAAGATGTTGTCCACACTCTCTAGTTCTCTGTGGCTTGGTGTCTGGTTGGGAAAAGGGATCAATCTGGTGACTTGAAGGATTCATTATTTGGGGGCTGGGTTCTCGGTGAACTGTGTCTGTGTAATTGTGCACATAGGATGTGGTGCTTTGAAAAGCTAACATTTCCCCTTAGCGCACCATTATAAATGGTCCTGCCATCGATGACCGGTGTGGTTTTATTTCTAACACATTTGGCTGTTAGTTTGTGAGCATTATAGTTCCTCCTCCAGAAAGAACATAGAGCTTACTTCCCACTGAGCTCAGCTGGAAAGAGGCCCTAGAGCAGGCCATGTCCGTGAGGATGACCGATCACCGTAACCTCGGGTGGGGTCTTGCTCCCCTGGTTGCAGCAGGGACAGCGCTCTGTCTGACCTCCCCCTAGCTGGGTATGGCCTCCTCCCCAGTGAAGCAGGTCCGTCTGCATTTGCACGCGCTCCTTTGGATTTAATGTGGAAGTTTTAGGTATCGGCCCTTGACATTGGACCAGGGTGCTCCTTTGGCACCCTGACCTTTGAGCATAGCGAGTGGGACTCGGGCGGTGGGTGCAGGCTGTGTCTGACTGCCTTTTCTTGCTCTCTTTAGCAACCCAAGGACATCTGTGCCCTGGTCGGGTTCTGTGAGCAGGAGGTGCCCATGCAGCCTCTGGTCCCTGCCAAAGTGGTCTCGGAGAACGTCATCCCTGCCCTGGAGCTGGTGGAGCCCATTAAGGTACCTGGTGTTACTGTTTGGTCCTGGCCACCGCCGTAGTGAGTACATTTATTGCCGTGGTTATCGACCCCAGCGCTCACGGGATCGAGTCTGCATTCTAGCACGTCATTCAGGTCCTTTTCCTGTGCCGGCTCCAGCCTGACTCTCTTAGGATGTGCTCTCTGTGGCCTCCCCCACAGCAGCCATAGAACAGATTTGCTGTCCCCAGACCCCCACAGCCTCTCCGGTGCTGTCTGCCACCCGGGCATCTGCTTTGTTTCACTTGGTGACAAGCCTCTTTTATTCCATAAGCAGTTTATTTTCAGCACGTCTTATGGGTCAGGCAGTGTTGAGAGATGGAGCCTAGAACAGCCCACCTACAGGGGTGAACAGAACTGTCCTTGTGTTTATGGGCCTGCAGTCTAGTCCTTAGTTAACTGCCACGCGTCCAAAACGTAACCATCCCTCACGCCACGATATTTGGAATTTAATTTAAAAAATCAATTGGCAATGAATATTATAAAAATAGATTATTCCTTACAATTCGGGTGTTCTTGAATATTTTCACCTGAAAATTCTCAAGAAAAATGATTTTAAAGTTGGTCAGGGCTCCCACTTAGGGAAAACTTTTTTTTTTTTAATAGATGCATGTGGCCTGTGGGGAAGGTCTGCTGCTTGGGGGCCCAGGCACGTGATATCTTACACGTGGCACATGCACATACTTCTTGTTCCAGAACTTCCCATGTCACTCTCCTTTGGCCGCGCTGCCTCCCCCTCCTCCCTCGGCAGGTGCAGGTGTGGCCTACAGCAAGGGTTAAGGTGTGGAGAAGCTCGGAGGCCTTTGCCCACCTGACTGACAGAATTAATGGCCAGAGAAAAGGGAGAGTTACAGTTTGTAACCTAGGCATATGTCTTAAATTTAAATTAAATTAAAATTAAAAAAAATTCAGGCCCTGCTTGGTGAAGCTCTGTGTAAGTGTTGTCCGTGTACCAAAGGGTTGCAGGTTTGATTCCCGGTTAGGGCACGTACCCTGGTTGCAAGTTTGATCCCAGTCAGGGCTTGTGTGGGAGGCAATGGATCAGTCTTCCCCCTCTCCCTTCCTCCCTCCCTCTAAGCATGTTCTTGGGTAAGGATTTTATTTTTTATTTTTTTAAGTCTTTATTGATGGGATAAGGATTTAAAAAGAAAATGCAGGTGCTCAGTAGAGAGTGGCTGGTGACTGCTGTATCTGGCAGGGATAGAGTGTGTTTCTGTTGTCACAGAAAGTCCTGTTCAGCAATGTTGCCTTAATAAAGGCAGACTCCTGAAAAGCAGTTTCAGGTGTCACTGAGACTTGAAATTCAAGAGCAGACGTGAAAATGTGTTTAAAACTGGCTTGTTAGTAGCGAGCTCTTTGTTTTTGCCCATCCCCCTCCCAGGACGAAAGCTGACTGATGAAATAATTGTAACCAAACACAGCATCACAAGGGGGGACAGCCCTTTGGGGTGGGAGGACAGTTCACCGCTTTCACTGAAGTATGGGTTCCTGAACATTTTAACTGAAGTGTAAATTCCAGGTTGGGGGGGTTGTGGCAGGAGGAGGGGGGTGAAGGATTGGCGAAAGGGATGGGTCTCCTGCGTCATAGAAACAAGAGCGATGGACCTGAGAAGCTGGGAGGAAGCCGCACTTCCTGGTGACTCAGAGGGAAGTGGCGCTTTGTGATGTTAACCTGTCCTTGCCTCTGAATCCCCTCCTTCAGAGGAGCGGGACCACGGGCTGAGGTGAGGTCTCCGCCTTCACATGTTCTCTTACCTCCACAGAAGGGCCTGGTGCAGGCGAAGGAAGATGTTTTGTGCGAGATGTGTGAATACGTGGTGAAGGAGTTGGTCAAGATGATCGACAGCAATAAGACGGAGGTATGTGGGTTTCTGGAATGCTGCCCTCCTGGCAGAGGGAGGCGCCCTCCTGGTCCCTGGAGCTAGAAAGGCCCAGTGGGAGACCCCAGCAGAAATAGGTGGGCTTGGTCCTTGCTGGTCTGGGCACCAGCTGGGGAATCTATCACCACTTCCCACCCGTGGGTCCTCGGGGCTGTGGCTGGCGGAGGCCACTCTGCCCTGCTCTGTAGCTCTTGTCTTACGCAGGAGGAGGCAGCATTTGCTGTTGACTGGTTTCTTAGTCATGTTTGCATTTTCAGAATCTCTCCCACCCCTACCCAGCCTTCCATCTTCCCACGTGATCCTCTTGTGTTTCAGGAGGAAATAATTCACGCTTTCGATAAAGTGTGCTCCAAATTACCCAAGTCCTTGTCTGAAGAGTGCCAAGAGGTGGTGGACACTTATGGCCGCTCCATCCTGTCGATCCTCCTGCAGGAGGCGAGCCCCGAGCTGGTGTGCAGCATGCTCCAGCTCTGCACCAAGCAGGAGCTGCCTGCACTGACTGGTGAGCCCAGTGGGAGTGAGGCTGGCCGGCCCTTCGGGGGTTTGGGGGGGCCCTGCCGGCACTGAGCCTGTGCTCTCTTGCATAGCACATGTGACTCAGCAAAAGGACGGGGCCTTCTGTGAGGTGTGCAAAAAGCTGGTTGGCTATTTGGACGACAACCTGGAGAAAAACAGCACCAAGGAGGAGATCCTGGCTGCTCTTGAGAAAGGCTGCAGCTTCCTGCCTGACCCGTACAAGAATCAGGTATGCCCCGGGCAGTTCTGCCCGAATCCCACCTGCCTGGGCAATGCAGGGCTGGGCGTGCCCTGGACTGAGGTGTTGAAGCCATTTCTGCCTGGATACATGGAGCCCAGTGGCCTTTTCTCAGAGGCAATCCGTTGGCTCACATGGAGCCCCTGGAGGAAATAACACAAGCAAATGAGGCCGCGTGTGGTGGGGCTCTGGGGAGGAGGCCCTGGAGCCAGTGGGCTAGAAATCTTGGGGAAGAGCATGTCCAGCTCCCTCCTTTTTTGCTCCCACTCTTCTGGGCACACATTGACCTGGACCCATGTCCCTGCTTGCTTCTCAGTGTGACCAGTTTGTGACCGAGTACGAGCCCATGCTGATTGAGATCCTGGTGGAGGTGATGGAGCCGTCCTACGTGTGCTCGGTGAGCGCTGAGCGCGTGTTTGGGGGCAAGCAGCTTGGGGTGCTGTGTGGGCCGTGGGCAGAGGCTCTGGGATGGGGCCTGAGAAAGCAGGAAGTGAGAGAACCAGGCTCTAGGCCCACCACTTGGTAACCCTGGTGTTTTTTGAAAGTGCACAGCGGAGCTCTGGTTCTCGCTGCTTCTAGAAGCTGATCATTTCAGGTCTGTAAAGGGTTGGTTAGTCAGCTCTAATTCTTCCCCTCATGTAGAAAGTTGGAGTCTGCCCCAGGGCCGGCAAGCCCCTTTTGGGAACGGAGAAGTGTGTCTGGGGCCCAAGCTACTGGTGCCAGAACGTGGAGACAGCGGCCTTGTGCAACGTGAGTAGCTCAGCACCTGCTCCGCAGGCCTGCCTGGCCGGGCTACAGCGCGTGGGAATCCTCTTTCACTGGGGCCTCGGGGCTGTTCTCAATCCTGTCTTTGTTAGTGAGAAACCTGAGGCCGAGAGAGGCATTAGGCTTACTCCTGGCTTCCCAGTCCAGGCAGGGCTGTGTTCTTGTCTCGGGAGGGAAGGGGTAGCTATTCTTTAATACTGCTTTTGTTCCTGCTCTCCTCCTTCGCCTCCAGTTCCCTATGAGAGGGTCAGATTTGCACGAGGTCCCCCCAGGGATTGCACAAGGCCTATTTGGGTTCATTGCCCCATTCCTTGCGTAAGTCCTCATGCCCCTCGAGAGTCACTTTTGCCCTGGCTGGAGCCAGGCCTGAATCCTCACCCAAGGTCGAGCAGAGCTGTTTAGAAAGGCCCTGAGGGTTGGCACCTGCCTGACAGCTCCAGGGTGCTGTGGCACCATCCTGACTGGGTTGCCACCAGTTGGGTGACTTACACTCGCTGTTTTCCTGGGTGGGGATGTTTGGACCAGCCTCTGTTGCTTAATGTTCTTTTGTGCAACTTTTTCTTCCTCGTGAGAGTTCCTCCAGTTGGGGGAAGTTGTATCACTTGGGGCTGCTACAGAGGGGTGGTGAGGCCCCATATGGCCGTGTCTAGCTCCTTCCTCCAGCCAGGCCCAGGCCATGGCTGGGTCATGGGCAGGACAGGTCCACTGCTGTTCTGGTCCATTTCTCAAGGCCTGAGCTGGTATGAATCTCTGACTCATGGGAGTTCTGCCTTGGGGGCCTTGGGCACAGCCTGCCAGCCGATGCTGGGGCCTCGGCGTGTGTGGCTGGACGCAGGGGTCCTGGCCCTACTGCCTGGGTGCTCATGTGCAAGCACGTGCTCCCCAGGTTTAAATGTGCTGCTGTCCTGGGCCTCCTGTGTCTGGTGTCATCACCTGACCTAGACAAGATGAACAGGCTCCATTTGGGGGTGATGTCTGATGCATGAACGGGCCAGGAGTGGAGTTATCACCTGAAGATTAACCCAGTTTTCTCTCTCCTGTCAGGCCGTTGAGCATTGCAAACGTCACGTGTGGAACTAGAAAGAATGCTCCATCTTGGAGAAACCACAGCATCTGCTCCTACTTGTATGTCGGGGAATGAACACAGATCTATCGACTTTGTTATAAAATAGGTGCCCCTCCCCTCACGCTGTTCTCATCTCCCTTAGTTAACATTGCTGCCAGCGCGAGAGGCGCCCAGCCCGCCGCTGCCATAGTGCTTCCGTGTCCTTTTCGTCCTGCCTCGTGGTAATGACGCCCTGCGCCCTGGAGGCTCTGAGCTGCCCTTGCATGTGGTTGCCTGGAGGAGGCGGGGGCTCGCTGCTGGCAGCAGCCAGAGCCGCTTCACAGAAAGCCATCGTCTCTGGCCGGGCTCAGTGCTGGCTTCTGTAGCCTCTGCCTACACTGAGGAGGACACCTCCCCGGGCTTCTGGTTGCTAGACAAAAAATCAAAACAAGGCTGCTTTGTATGAAAGATTAGAGCTCCAAATAATTAGGCTTTTTGCTCTGTGGTTTGCACTGAAATAGGGATTTTGGAAGCGGCTGCTCAGGAGACCTGGGTGAGGCTTGGGTTTGCTGACCCTGGGCCAGCCTTTGATCAGCTTTCCGGCGTCTTTCCTGGTGATGTCTTGTGTGGTCCTTGGGTTTGGGTGGGAGGGGAAAATCTGCTTGAATGCAACCTGCGTAGCTCAGTGTGGGGTCCTCTGCCCCTGACTTTTGTGAGTAAATACATGGGCTGTGGTGACCACCTCATGCCTGCTCTGTGCATCACAGCCCTGACCTGTCTTGTGGATATTGCTTTTGACCTGGAAATAAGCGTGAATGACAGGCTCCTAGGCTTCCTGTCGGGCGTGCTGTTCAGGACCTTGGCTGTTGCCCGCCTGCCCCCCCCCCACCCCCCCCTCCCCCATGCTGACTCTCCTGTTGCCCTTCTGATTGTCGGGACAGTAAGACCTGCAGTTGCCATTAAATGGACTTAATGATTTTTTGTTTTGCACTAAAGTTTCTGTGATTTAACAATAAAGTCTGTCAATCAGATCTGATATTTCTGTGATACCTCAGCCAGAAGCGTGGTTTCTGATTAGCTCTCCAAGGCCGTGCTCAGTAGTCCCGTGACACCTCTTGATCAAGGAAAGCAGAGTGGGTCACGTGCCACCTGTCTGCCCTGAGGTCCTAGGCTGGGGGGGCCCAGGGCCGCCATGCTCTTCTCCCTTCTCCCTTGCCTCCCTCGCCAGCCACGCCGTCGTTGACCAGAACAAGTGCCAGTTCCTGTGAGTTGCTTTTCTTTTTAAAATTCAGACCATTCCAGAAACGTTCAGTGAGTACCAGGAAAACAAACCAAGGGGGACATGTTGAGGGAATAACTTAATTTAAAAAGGAATACACACGAACACTCTACATTCAAAACCAAGGGAACATCAGTCATTTCTCCTTTTGAGCCGGTACATTTGGGAAGCCAGTGAAATGGAGAGAACGTGGTTTGTGGATAATAACCTTGTCCAGGTCGGGGGCAGGGTCACTGCCCCACCTGGGTGTCCAGTCGGACGTGGCAGAGACGTGGTGAGACTTGAACGGAAGTCTGAGTCAAGGCCAGGCTGGGGCTGGGAGGGGTGGAGAGGGGAAGGGTCTGCCTGGCCTCTCAGTTCAGCCTGGGCTGAGTTGGTCCTCAAACTCGTCCCCCAGGGATGCTCCTTACCTTATCCTTGGACACTTAACATTCTGGTTTGGTTTTCTTAAAAAAATAACAAATCTTATGAAGGTAGAGGTCAGATGCTGAATGAGTGCCTGGCGGAAGTGGAACCAGAGCTGCAGACAGCAGGCTGCCACCACTTGACCAACCAAGGTCGTGAGCCAGGGTCCGCTCCCCACGGTCCTGGTGCCGCCCACACCAGCGAGGCTCCCCCATCTGGTCACAGCTCCGTGATCTCCAGGGGGCTCTCCATGATCACATCTCGAAGCTTGTGCAGGGGCGTGGATTTGGCGGACTCGGTGCGGGCGTTGCGCTCGAAGGCACTGGCCTCGGCCGCCGTGAGCGTCTCCAGGGAGCGGCCCAGGCCCTTCTGGTCGTCCTCGGGCAGGCTGTTGAGGTCGGTGGCCAGCAGTGTGCCCGTGCTGCCGTGCACCATGTGGATCCCGTCGGGCCCCTTGAGCTCCGGGGGCGGCTTGCAGAAGCGCAGGCTGCCCTGGCCCGGGCTGCGCTCCCCCGGCTCCTCCAGCTCCGTCTGGATCAGCTGCAAGAGTCCGGGCCCCCCACACGCTCAGGGCTGGGCCCGGGGTGGGTGGCCCCAGGTGGGTGGCCCCAGCGTCCTGCCTGCCACGTGCCTGCTTCTTCCCCCTGGCGCACAGGAGCCCTGGGTGGCACTAACAGCCTGTCTCCAGCTGGTACAAGAGGCACCTTGGAACTCACCGTGCTGTGTTCTCGGCGAGTATGGGCTTCCCATGAGCTGAACTTTGTGTATTCACTTTTATCTACAACATTGCTGTGATGCAGCTGCAGTGTCTGGGTTTGTTACCAAGTTGGCCTCAAGCAAGGTCACACTAGTGGCCAGGTGGAGGGTTTCCACAGGTGGAGCTGGAGGGCTGCGCTGGGCGCTCAGGTGGAGCTCAGCTTGGGCCCATTCCACTTGAGAGTGTTGGCCCAGCTGGCGATCTGGGTTTCACCTGACTTTTTCAAGTGTTGACATACCACCGCAGGCAAACACACTGGAGAACCTATTTGAACCTACAGCCGGTTTCTTTAAATCACCCCTTTAAAGTATCTTTTTGGGGGTTTTCAAATCAGAGAACACTTCCTGTGCCTACCCCATCCGTGGAAAGCCCACTGCAGAGCCCAGGAAGCAGAGCCCACTGTCTGCCTGTACCCCACCCACTGCTCTCTGGTCCTGGCTGCTGAGCTCCAGAGATGGAGAAGGAGAGCTGGAGAGAGGAGAGAGAGCACCCCCAGGGCTGGGGCACGGCACACAGCTCCCTGCCCTCCCCGCTACCTCGGAGATGGAGGAGTGGCAGGAGGAGGCTTTTTGCACCATCCGCTGTGCAAAGAGCTTTTTGAGCCGCAGGTAATCCTCCAGGACCACCTTCAGCAGCGAGCCCTGGGGGAGGGAGAAGGTTAACCCCCCACCACGGCCCCCACAGCTCCCCCACTCCTCACTCTGGTAACTCATCTGGGGGTGATGGGGTGTCTAGGAGAGACAGGCCTCTAACCCCAGAGCAGAGGATCAGGAGCAGAGCCTGGCAGCTCAGCATAGCACTCTGGCCCTGAGGGCACCACGGGCTGGAGCAGTGCCTGCTCCGCCCAGGGCCCAGGACTCTCTGGTTGCCCTGGTGCTCTTGCCCCAGTGGAGGCCGGGCCTCGCTGAGCCTAGAGGTGGAGGAAGCTGTCCCCGCTCCCTGCATCCTCTGGAGCAGGATCTGGAGGCAGCGCTCACCTTGATGGGCCCCTCCCGGATGATCTGGCCCAGCTTGGCAATGTTGTCGTACTCCTGGAGGGCTGCCCGCAAGTAGCGGTCTTCGTCAGGTTTCACTGCCGCTGGCTCACGCCCGAAAGTTCCCTGGGAGAGAGGATGTTAGCTGGGCGGAGGCAGCCAGCGAGCAGGCACACCCACAGGCAGGGCCGAGGCCCACCTCCTAGGACAGCGGTCGCCATGGACCACCAGTGTCCACGGACCAGCTGTTGGCGACCCGCTCCTTGGCCAGGGCTGGCGGAGACCCACCCTACCCCGGCCCCGGCCCCTGGCCCTGCCCCTGCCCCTGCCCCTGCCCCTGCCCCTGGCCCTGGCCCTGGCCCTGCCCCTGCCCCTGCCCCTGGCCCTGGCCCTGCCCCTGCCCCTGCCCCAGCCCCAGCCCCAGCCCCGGCTCACGTGGGTGCGGGTGGGGCTGCTCCACAGGTCGGCGATCTCGCTCAGGTTCTCCGGCAGGTCGTCCTCGTGCTCGGCCTGGGCGGCCAGTTCCAGGTTCCGGCAGAAAGGATCCAGCCACACTGGGTTGGCCCTGCAGGTGGGGTGGGGTGGGGTGGGGTGAGGATGGAAGGCTTGAGAGGACAGAGCCCTGCCAGCCTCACCCTCGCCCCTTCCTGTTTCCCTGGCCCACTGTAGTCTTTCACAGCGGGGAAGGGGTTTAGGCCTCTTGCCCACAGCACCTGCGGGTGCGTCCCCCCTAGGATCTCACTAGAACCGGGACAGGACGACATGTCGATTGGATAAGCTTCGGTTTGAAAGCCTCACTGCACCCACTGACTGATGTCAAGCCTCCCCCTCCCCGCCCCCCTCAAACTTGGGGCCCATCAGGGTTGGGGAGTCGAGTTCAGTGACAGGATTTCTGAGGATGGAGAGAGGGGTGGCTGAACCACCAGGGGGCGCCCACACCCCAGGTATAGCTAGTCCATGCTCCCTCACTAGGAGGCGGCAGGGAAGTTTCCGTCCCAGCTGGGTCCCTGGCAGGCCTTCCCAACGTGCACCGCAGGGCTCGGGGACCCCACTCACCCGTCAAAGGAATACTTGTTGGTGTTGGGCATGTCCATGATGTCGATGAAGCCACGGTTCCCTGCAGGGAGCAGGTGGGGCATGGAGGGGAGGGAGCTGCTCTGCTGGGGAGCCTGGCCCAGGCCAGGTCCGTGTGAGTTCCCCAGGAGCCCCTCCTGACCTCTGACCTCCCAGCCGTCGTCGCAGCCCTCACTCACCTGCGGAGCCAGCCACTATGGCTTTGAGTTTCCTCTTGTGTCTGGAGAGAAGCAGAGAGAGGCGCTGGTAAGGAGGCTGGGGCTGGGCTGGCATCTCATATCCATCCCTGGAGGAGGGCTGGTTGTCAGGGCAGGGCCAGGGGTCACTCACACGGTCCGGTAGTACCAGTTCATGAGGATGAAGAGCATGGCAGCCAGGAAGAGGAGGATGGCCAGGACAATGATCGCCATCTGAGGGAAACGGGACAGGCGTGAGCGGGCGGGCGCACGCAGGGTGATAGGGGGCTGGGGGGCCGGTGCCACCAGGGGTACCTGCAGGGCAGACATGTCTTCGGGCAGCTGGATAGTGATGGCAGGCTGCACGTCC